ATCTGAATGCATTGCTTTTTCACATGTTCAACCTCTGTTGGATTAATTTCGAATAAATAAAACGTTTCAACTGCTGAAGAAATATCAAAATCATCATCAGCATCATCATCTTCATCATCTCCAATTTGATTTACAGCTCTTATCATTTCAGTTTGAATTTTAGATCCCTTATTTACAGTTGATGTATTAGCAAGAGCTTGCTTTTGAAACTTTTCCAATTCATTTTGTTTTGATCGTGTTCTAATAATAAATCTTTTGGATCTATCAACATTTGGAAACTCATTTGGATCAGGAACAATAGCAGCTGCACTAATGATTTTATCTTCATATAACTTTTCCATGATAGTCAAATGGGGTGACTCTACGAAAAATCTATTTTTCTGCAGAACTAATTTTACATTACCATATTTTCTTGTTACATCTCTAATAAAATTGATGAGAGCTTCGGATAATTTAACCTTACTTAGCTTCTCCAAAACTTGAATAATTTGTTCGGTGTTCATACCAATACTGACAGCTGCATAGAGAGAATATTCAGTTAATACATATTCGTGTAGATTTTCAGGACGTGAAACAGGTTCAGCAACAGCAACAAGAAAATCATAAGCCTGTTGATAAATTGGTGAAAAGGTCTCCATGAAAATATGAAATTTGCCATCAGTACCTGAACAAACCCAAACTGGACGGAGTTTATGGTCAGGTTTTAATTCCAAATTTGAATGGTCAAATTGAACGTCCTTCTTTTGACTGAAAATATCACTCACAAGCTTTTCCTGGGCTTTTTTTGCTACTTCATTATCTAGATCGTTTAAAATTTCCTCATATTTTTGCTTCTTCTTTTTTGCTTCTTTTTCTTTCTTTTTCCTTTTTTTATCTTCCGATTGAAGACGATTTGATGATGTTCCAGTGGTTTGATCGTGAAGATGGTTATTCAACATGTTATTTTTTTTGTTATAATTTTATTAAAATAATGATGATAATTTTCTAATAATAGGCCTTTGAAGTTGGTGAATTATTGTTCTTCATCTCCAGACTGTGTCCACCATGATGTCAATCCAAGACCAGGCTCATTGGCTCTTCCTGTGATGATCATTGGTGCTTTTTCCTCATCTTGTGTTTGGTTGTCTTCGGTTGGTGGTTTGTTTCTCTCCTCTGTGTGACGAGGAGGATTAGAATCTATGGTGGTGTTGAATGTTAGAGAGTTTACTCGGAATCGTATTTCTTGTGGATGGGCGTACGGAAGAGCATTGTCTTCATAAATCCACTGCCACTGGCTTGTCTCTTCATCACTTAATTTAATTATTATTAATAAATTTGCTGAAAATAATAAACATACTATTTACATGGTTGGGCTAATAAATAGGGTGGGATGTAAATGTCGTTGAAAAATCCAATAGCTACTTTTAGGCCTTGTTCAGGATCCGATCCCATTATTCTTCCTGTAATAATTTCTCCAACAAATGGTTTAAACACTATCAACCTAAAACTTGCTTCCACAAAATAATTTCCTTGTTGATTTGGATAAATATGAGGATCTCCTATTGAAATAAAATCATATATCGACACACACAATCCTACATCGGGAAGAATTTTGTTAGAATATTTCATATGAATTTCATCTTCCACTGCTGTAACAATATCCTTTTTGAATCGTTCTGGTTTAATGATTAGTGTATCTTTTATCACTACAGTAACAAACATATTTTTTAATTGATGCAATTTTTAAACTGTATTTTCTTTTAGAAAGATTATTGCACCAAACAAACTTGAGAAGTTGAAGCATTTGGTTCTTGGCTTGTGGTTTCAAGGATTACACCTGGACAATCAACCAGAAATAAAGCATAGACCGGCCTGTGATCAGAATATTTGACTTGTGGGAAAAAATTATAGTCAACAAGGTGGATTTTACCCTTTTTAGAAGGTTTAAAGAGAATTCTATCAGTCCAAGCAGGTATTCTCTGCTTCTTACTGAGGTCGTATTGGTTTGAATTTTTCTCAAATTTGTAAGTTGGTGGGAAGATTATTTCTCCTTCAGAAAAATGCTTTAGGTCAACTGTTCCTTTTTTTCGTTCAAGAATTAATTGATCATTTAGCTGAAGAACTTTAAGATCATTCATTTTCAAGACCTTATCTACAACTTTTCTATTTCCATTAATTCTATAATTTAAATCACCCATATAAAACACAAAGTTGTTCTTTTTGAGAATGTCTGGTCTATCTGCTCGTTTAAATAGAGTAAAATTGGATTGTGAAACCGCTGGATTCACTTTTGTTTTTGAGGGTTGTTGCTGAATTTTCCCTTCATAGTCGATAGAATCAATAATTCTCTTTACACTTTCATTTCTTTCTTTTACATTTTCTTGGTGAGCTGGGAGATGATTATTAATAAAAACAAATTTTCGCTTTCCTAATTTGAAAGAAATCGAAACCCCACCCTTGTTTCCAATTTGGTTATATAAACCAGTAGGAACACTACAAGTTCTTACATTGCTTATTTGTGTTAATAGTTCCTTTCGTACAAATATTATCAAGTGTATTGCTACTAATGTACAACTTTCAAGTTGAATATATGAATCTCCCATAATTGAGTTAAGTGTCTTTTCCCATTTTGCTTTTGATTCAATGATTACGGAAGTTCCAATAGATCTCTCACACTCTTGAGTTGCAAAACAATAGATATGATAATTATTTGTTGGAATGAATGAAAGTAAATATTCCTCATTTGGAGAAGATAGACCCATCATATTCCATGTTATTGAGAAAATTTTAAGGTAATTCTTGTTGTTTTTGGTTGCAAAATTAAGCTTTCCGTTTTCATGGATGTTATCATAAGGATCAAAAACCATCCTGTCCTCATAAATATTTTCTAGGGTTATAAGGGAATCTTCGTTCATTTCAGGTTTTAATGGATCATCAACTTCATCCTCATCACTTTCATCAATTATTTCTTTTCTTTTTTCAATTTGTTCTGAAGATCCACCAACACTGCCATCAAATCCTTCCACCTCAATGTTTATTTCATCATTGCTCATTTTTTTGTGATTGTTTGTGATTGAAGATATGTAACTGAGTAATCAATAAACGGGGGGGGAGATCTAGTGCTGACAAACCACTGGAGGTCTGCCTGTGGCGGGAACACCATTTTTAGTCTCTACAGTGACGCTTTTGTAATTAAAAAAATAATTTAAAAAATTGGATTGTTGTTGTTTGACTACTCCGCTCACAAACATAATTTCATTTAATTTGTTGATAGTTTTCTTGATACATCACATGAACAATATGTTTAACCACATGTTTACTTTTAAACAATTCTTTTCAGCTTCGGAAACTTATTTTAATTTCGTTGATAAGAATGACATTATAGTAAGAGAAAGTTTGTTTATTGGTTTAGTGCAGACAATTAGTATATCAGTATTTGATTCTACCAATTCCATCACATGTGTGGGTTGACCATGTAATTAGGTTGTGACATTTTTTTTTAATAAATCTAATAATAATAGGGTTCATATTTAGGTGGTTAGAAAACTGTAGAGAACTAATATGTTAATAAGGAATAGAGTGGACCATAGACTGGAGATCTCCCCCCCCGCAATAAACCGCCAAAACGTATTCAACTAAAAAAAAATACATGACTTATGAGACTTAACGGATTGAGGAGAAATGAATTTAGGCTGTTCAAAACCAAGGGAAGGACAATTTGTAATGGTGTTGTTGGAGGCTTTTGAACCAAATGCACTCCCAACTTATTTAAGAAAAAAAAACATTAGTTCACAAATACAACAAGCTGTGGATTCAAAGAAATTAGAAAAAAGTTTAAGACCTTCATCTAGTGACAGTAATAACGGTTTTGATGAAAAACCATTAACAGAAAGAAGTAATTCATTCCGAAAATACAATGCACCTTATCTGAACAGATCACTAGCACAAAGCGGTGACTATTCAGAAAATCTGTCCCTGTCACCAATATACAAAAATTCAAACAAGTTATTGTTTCATAGAGAGAAGGAAATCACCTCTAAGGGGCCATTTCTAACAGAATTTGATGATGAATTGGATTTATCCAGTTCAGATCATCAAGCAAAAAGACCAAAATACAAAAGCATGGAAAATTATGTAAAACAAAGAGAATATGATGAGTATCTTCACTCATCTCTTCAGAGAAGAGCAGATATATATGCAAATGGAAAGGAAAAAAAGACAGTAGCTTTTTCTAGAGCTAAAGCAAACACATTAAGCAAAGCTCCACCAAGCCTTCCTAGTTTAAGTCAACGAAACTTGTTTACTACTCCCACTTGTGGAAAAGTTTCTCTAGATAGTGTGAAACCCAATAATCTTAAAGTAGGTTTGGTGATAGAGTGTAAAGAAAAGGAAGCAGTAATAAGTGTTTTATTTAAAGATGGTGTTTTTTTGCATTATTTCAATGTAAAAGAGTCAATACCCTTCAATAGACTTGTTGTTTTAACTAATGATGAATACAAACTACTTCTTGGAGAAGCGTGGATGGAGAGATTAATTGATTTTGAGTTGGGTACATCATCTAAAACAAATTTCAGTTTCTCTCCTAACAAGGTTTCTGATACTAAAAGCAAGGAGTGGGTAGAACTGAGAAAAAAAATGATGACAGCTTTGAACAAACTTAAAAAAAGGAAAGGAATAGATGATGAATCGTTAAGGTCACCAACAATGCAAGATTTAATGAAGGAACTTGAGGATGGTAATGAAGAAAATTTTCTTGAAACATATAGAGATGGAGCTTCAAGCAAATTCCATAAAGATGAAGAGGAGGAAAAAGAGAAAATTTTCACAAGATGGAACGAAAGGTTGGAAAGTTTCCACGCTTTACGATTGACTGAGCAAGGTCTTCTTTCTCAAAAGAGAAACACAACATTGAGAGATCTTTCAGAATCTCTTTCAAACAAAATGGGCCATTTAATGGCATATGAGGAAGCTATCATGTCAGCCTTTCAATCAACAGGAAATGATAATTCCAGCACAACAAAAGAGAAACTAGCTAAGGTTGTTCCATCCTTAAACTCCTTAAACTCCTCAATGATTAACTCTTCCCAGGTTTCTAATAATGTTGCTCACAATTTAATTTCTCCAAGAACTCCAAGAACATTTTTCATGGACCATCTTTCAGGAAAAACACTTCCTGGGAAAGTAGTATTCATAGATCCTATTAGCTTAATAATGAATATTATTGTATCATACCAAAAAAAACCAATTACTGATCCTATTCTTTCTCCAAGAATGATGAACTCACCTCGTTCAAGGGCGAGTAAGCACAATGAAGAAACGGAGCATACTGCTTCAATTATGATATATTTGTATCTTGACAAAATTTCCTTTATTGTTGATGGTGAGAATAAAGCATCCACCGCTTATGGCCCTCTTACTACCAAATTAATTGGGAAACAGGTAATAGTTTTTATACCAACAACCACTATAGCTATTACAAAATCAAACAATACTGGAAAGGAAATTAATAGTTTGGACAGCTCTCTTCCGTGTGACGTTTGGCTGGTCTCTGAAGGAGATGATTGTCTTAAATCAACCCAAATGATAAAAAAAGATATATTAAGTATTGACCTTCCTGAAAGAATATGGATTAATAAGTGGGTTGTTGAACAAGGGTTAGCTGCACTTCACTTTGATTCGTCAGATTCAAGAGTTGAAGAGCATAACTTGACCAGTATTTCCAAACCATTCATTTCTCAACAAATGAGGGTGCTGAAAGAAGCTGAAATATTTGCGAAAACTCATGATATGGGAATTTGGGGGTTCAAAAACCAAATAATTAAAATGGAAAAGGAAAGAGAAAGAATCAAAAGGTGGAAATATAGGACAGGAAAAACAGAAGAAAAAACAAAACAAAATAGAACTACACTCACAAATAATTCCCCTCCCAAAGATCCCTACCCAAATGAAGGAAGTTTATTCAGAGAGGCTGACAGAAAATACATGATGGAAATGAATTACTAAGTTATTTCCGTAGAACAAAATTGTAATTTTGAAAAAACATTTCCCGCCATTAAAACGTACAATAAATTTAAAAAAAATTGATCATAATGAGACATATCCAAAAACCTTACGAGAGGGATTTTCGTTACTTTTCTTATTTTTTGGATACCGATTATCCTCTTGTTTCTCAGGAACCAACAAATCAAAATACACCTTCGGAAACACTTAAAGTTCCATCATCTACTCCAGTAACTCCACTGAATGAAAGTTTATCTCCTGATGCTATCCAACAATTAGAGGCAGAGGAGAGGGAATCTCTTTTAGAAACAATATTTGGAAATTTCACCACAATTCATTCATCCATCGACACCAGCAAATTCCGAGTATTAATATATAATGAAGTAATACAAGGAGCCAAAATACAAAAATTTGAAGAATATGCAGAATATGAAAAGAATTTGGCTGAAGAAACAAAATTGATGGGCAACTCAAAAACATCAAAAAATCCGGAAGCAGAGGAGCAAGCAAAACAAAATAGACTTTCAGAGCTAAAAAATGATAGAAAGAGGCTAATTGGGCTCATTTACAAAAGGTTTATTTCTTTCCAGATAGATGATTATTTAAAAAAGAAATCTGAAGATGAAAAGAAAAAGCAAGTAGATTTACAAAAGAAAGAGGAGGAAAAAAGAAAGGAAAAAGAAAAATTTGACAAAAACAAAAAACCTTCCGAACAAGCAATAATTAATAATGAACAAGAAATTTCCAATCAAATTATCGAAAATGCAGCAATCACCCCAAGAGAAGAAGGTTTTATTGTTAAGAATGAGCCCATTCTCTACTTTTTGTTCAAAGATTTTCCAGCAACAAAAGAAGATATTAATTTATTAATGGATTGTGGGGTAAACTTTGATTGTGTTGTTAAGTTGGGAAAAGAAAAGAAAAGAGGTCCTCCCCCAATAATGGACGAAGATCTTTCACAAAGACTTGGTGACAAGAAAAAACGTCCAAAAAGCACTGACGCAAAACGTCCCAAGAGTGCTACTAAAACTGGTTCTCAAAAGAAGGGATCAACACAAGCAACACCAACATCTACTTTTAAACCAGATACCAGACTTTGCCAAATTATTGAACATTCTTGTAAATTGAGAGATGAAAATATTTCAGGATTTATTCGAAATATTTTACAAATCAATCATTCTTTCGTTGAGTATACATATGATGACGATAACTCAAAATTTGATCCAGGTGATAGTTTAGAGAGAGAAGTTGGTAGATTTTTCTCCACATTAGAAAAATATGCTCAAGTAATTATGAATCGTTATGACGATTACGAAAAAGCTATTGGAAAACTTGAACAAGTTTATGTTTCGGATGAAAATACAATATTGGATTTGAGTTATTACAACAAGTTACTCGAAAATATACCAGACAGTTGCTGTTCTGAAGCTGTAATCCTTCATTGTCTAATAGAACAACTGGTCAAAACAGTTGAAGATAAATATGAGCTCTCATCCAATGGAGATGATAAAAAACTAACCAAAGATTATACAGAAAGCTTAACTAACCTTTTACACACTGCTTTCAACCCAAGCATAAACTTTTTAGAAGTATCTGATTTGAAAGAGAGGCAAAGACCTGCCATAAATACTTTGGAGAAGGTGGGAGGTTTGTCATTAATACCATTTGGCTCCAAAATATCAGAACATGCTCTTTGCACAATTCCAATACATCACGATACAACAAATATTGACATTGAAAGAAAAGTTACTAGAATGCTTCACTTATTTCCTGAGCTAAGTAATCAAACCGCTACAATAGAAACAGAAGAAGAGAGAGTGAGTATAAAAACAGAAATTTATCACTTCCTTTCTGGAAAGGACGAGGATATTCATGGACCTTACAAATATTCTAGAGAAGAAGTAGACAAAGAATTAGTAATGATGGAGTTTGAGGAAATGCTAAGAGAGAAAGGAGTTGATTTAGACTTGGGTGATCGTAATGTAGAAGAACATTTTAATGTTGAAACAATGATTGAGGTTATTTCATATATTGGATTATTTGAAAAGCCAAGCCTGATTTCAAAATATAACGAGTTGAATAATTCGGTCCTTTTAGCTTTTTACAATGAGGTACCGCCTTGTAGATACGAACGTATTTCCATGCTTAAAAGGTTCTCCCTTAATGAGTATTTTTTGGAGTGGTTTTCTAACTATCAAACCTATTTTTCAGATCAATTTAAAATTCAATTTGATAAGGAATATAATGAATGTCACAAAAGGATACAGAAATTGTCTCAATTTGGAGCAGAAGACGAAGATCATCACAAAGATACTCAGGAAACCTCTTCAACCATTCAAAATATTCTTGCACTTCCCCTTCCACATCTACCAAAAGTGCCTCATGATATCATTCTCGATCCTAAAAATGAAAGATATATATTTGAAGGCAAAGGTGCAGACATTTATATTGATACAGTCAACCTTTACCCAAGTGATGGTTCAATCATTTATCTAAAGTCGGAATATTGTACAGACAAGAGCATTTCTTGTACTGTTGAAAAGGATGGGCTTGTTTTTGGATTTAAAAATACCATTAACAGTTTGGATAATCCTCATAATATGTTGAAAAGAAAGTCATATTTTTCCTGTTCTTTTGAGGATGATTCTAGTCTAATAGCATTTTTACAAGACCAAGTTGATGCTAAATCGACAGAGGTTGACTTCAGTTGCAATAACGGCCTTCAAATACGCTTAATGCAAGATGGATCTATCCATCAATTCTATCCCTCACAATTAAAATCTAAGAAGAAGGTTTTTGGTACTGGGTTTAAAGGATTAGATAGAAATTCTACTGACAAGATGACTATTAGTTTACATCCTGTAGAAGAATTAATTGAAATATGGAACTCTACTACTGATACAGTTGAAAAGAAGCTTGTAAGAGAGCTTTCTCTAACTGTAACAAAAGACGGAGCAATAATAAGGAGATTTGAAGGGGATATTTCGCAAACATTATTTCCAAGCAGCGAAATTCATCACTTTAATTCTGACGGTTCATGCTTAAAGACTGCCCCGACAGGTGCAAGGTGTGTAGAGCTATTAGATGGAACTATTTTGAATTTAGACACTGTTAAATATGTTAAAAATGTTGATGCATGGAAGGATGCAGAAGTCCATGTAAGAGAAGATTTAGTTATGAAAGTGATTTTCAGTGACAGTTCTCAACTGGTTCAATATTCTGATGGCTTCCGTATTTGGAGATGTCCAGTTGTTCATGGTCAAGTTTTTGTTGATGACGAAGAAGATGAAGATGAGTTTATTCATGTTAATGATTTTTATACCCTTATCGAAAGAAGCGGTTTTGCAAGTGTTAAAATTCTCAAAGATAAGATTTTGTATGAACTTCCAGACCAATCTTTATTTACCTACAGAGACAGAAAGCAATTTACCCTTTCCAAACTAGGTCATATGATTACTATTGATTTAGAAAAAAATTTTGTTGATTTAGAGCCATCCAGTTTATCCTTTACCTCAATCAACAAAGAAAGATTCCAAAAAAAGTCCTCCAAGTATTATTTTGGAATGTACTCTTTCGATTATTTGAATGGAGGAATGAAAATGATTGATATTGTTGGCCATGAATTTGTAGTCACAGGAACAGGTAGATCAATGATCAAATTCTATCAAGAAAGTGAAAAAAATCAAAAGGATATTCACAACGAAAGAATGCTTATTGAAGAAAGAAAAGCAAGCAGAGCATGTACACCAAAAGTCTCCAGAAGTAAAAGACCTAAGAGCTCCTCAATACCACCAGAACAAGATGAGTCAAATGGTATCACGGCTGAGGAAACAGATGGTACTCAAGAAGACATGGAAACATATGCACTTTCTCAGTCTCTTATCAATTATTTCAAAAAGAACAAAATTGGATTACCTCCTGTTTCTGTTATTGGAGAAATTCCAAAGGACAACAGTCACAAATTCTTAATTCAACCTCGACTTTTTGAGTTATCCATGAAAGGTTCATATGCTTTTGAGTATCTTCCAGAAAGCTTTATTGCGCCATTTACTGATGCATCAAGATCGAATCCTGAGAAGATTAATATTTCTGAAGATATGGTTGGAGAGTTTAGAAGTGTTTCTTCTGTTCATATCTATACTAAATACGATCAAGGAACTAAATATTTGGAAAGCCCCGAAAATTATTACTCCCTACCAAAAGCTGTCATTCCTCTTGGCAGACTGAAAACGGCTGATCCTTCTCTATACTATCACAGGCATTTCAACAAGTATAGACCTCTGTCAATAGATGATAGATCTAAATTAAGGGATAAATTCAATCGATGGAAAGAATGGAGAGTAAGAAAAGAAGGATATTCAAAAGAAAATTCTGAAGAGGGTGATATCAGGAGTGAAGACCAAAAGCAAAAGGAAGAAGAAATCAAGAATGAATTAACAACTATATTCTCCGAAAATAACATCTTTGAAAAGGAAGCACCAATAGAGGAGGAACAGAATCCTGAGGATTTTACAGTCATTCAAGTGGTTAAAAAAGATGAAATAGAAAAAGATAGAGGGCTAAACATTAATGAGTACAAGCAGGAAAAGAAAAATAGCAATACTCCTAAATACTGGCACGAACCTGAAGCTTTAGAAGTTTGGAAAACGTTGGTGTTAGGAATTCCAAAGAAGGAAAAAAAGGAAAAGAATGAAAGCCTTCCAGAACAATCCAATGAAGAGGCAAGTGTAGAAACTAATGAAGAGTATTCAGAGAACGAAAATATAGAACCCAATTATTTACCAGTCCACAACGAAGGAGACAATTACGATACCAAAACCGAATCGACTAGAAAAGGAAACTCTCAAGATCCAAGTTTTTATTCTGTGGAAAATGTTAGCAAATCGGTTTGGTTCAAGAAATCATTCATCAAAACTGCTGAAGCCGTTCCAAATGATGAATACAAATCTCTGCATGATCCTTCCAAAATCAAGGTGAAAACATCCTCCATGAAAACACCAAACCAACCTCAAAAAACCATGGAAAAGAAACTTCCATCTAGGAGTGATATGCAAAAATCTTCAATTACAAGAGAAACCATATCATCACCCTCTCCTCAACCAGGTCTGAGTAATATTCAAGTGTTTCCAAATTCCTGTAATTTTGGGTCTTTGATGGTTGGTGATGTTTACAGAATGAGTGTTCAAATGATTAATAGTGGACATATAACTGGAAGATTTCAAATTGACTACCAGAACAGAAGCCAATGGTTTGCTATGGAAGGTGATCAATCTCTTAATAGTACCTTGAGAATTTAC